GCTTGTATTAACATTAAAAATGAGGATGACTTATGTTTTAAATATTCCGTTCAATGTGGATTTTATGAGTTATACAAAAAAGACCATCCCTGCGACATGTATCATTATAAGAAATATGTAGATGACAAATTTATCAAATGGGACGGAATAGACTTTCCAGTAGGTAATGATGAGATTGAACTATTTGAAGAACAGAACAAACACATATCGGTCAATGTTTATTACATAAACCCCGATACGAATAGTAAAACTATTTTATTATACAAAAGAAGCAACAACCCACAAGCACAACACAAAATCGATTTGATTAAATTGACTGATGATGTTAAATCACACTACGCTTATATCAAAAATTACGATAAGTTAATGAGTAGTCAGACTAACAAAAAGAAAGTTAAAAAGTATCATTGTAGAACCTGCTCTCCTGGTTTTCAATCAGAAGAATTATTGAAACAACACGAAGAACAGGGATGTCTAGCAGTTGAGGGTCAAAAACTAGAAATGCCAGAAGCAGGTGAAACAATAGAATTCAAAAACCATTTCAAGAAACTTAAAGCTCCATTCGTAATCTATGCCGACTTTGAATGTTGAACTGTGCCAATTGATGTTAAAAGCAAATCGGCAAAAGCTAAAACTACATCATATCAAAATCATCGTCCGTGTGGGTTTATGATTTCTGTAGTCAATGCTATAACCGGAAGTAGTGAGCCTTACTTATACAGAAGTGAAGCTTGTATGGATAAGTTCGTTGCAAAAAGCAATGAAGTCAGAGAGGATGTTTTGGAGAAAATGAAGGAGGTCAAAGACCGTATTGAAACCGAGGAGGACTGGGAGGACTTCAATACTGCCACTAACTGCTTCATTTGCGGAAACAAGTTTGAGGAAGGTGAAAAGAAGTGTTGGGACCATTGCCACTTTACGGGACAGTATAGAGGTTGCGCCCACGAGGACTGTAATCTTCGATTTAGTATGAGATATTATAAAATCCCTGTGTTTCTTCATAACCTTAAAAACTATGATGCCCACTTAATCATCAACAAGGCTCACGAACTGAACAAGAATTCTAAAATAGAATGTATCGCTCAGAACAGCGAAAAGTTTATAACCTTTGGTTTTAAAAATCTTTGTTTCAAGGACAGTTTCAGTTTCTTATCGTCTTCGTTGGATAAGTTGGTGAAGTTGAGTAAATATGAGGATGATAAAAAGCGTGAGAATTGGAAGAACAATTTCAGATACAGCGTTAGAAACCCGTATGTTAAAACCGATGAAGATTTGGATTTATTGACTGATAAGGGTATTTATCCCTATGACTACTTTGATGATTTTGAAAGATTTAAGGAAAGGGCTTTACCACCGAAAGAAGCGTTTTACAGTAAATTGAGTGAAGAACATGTAAGTGATAAAGATTATGAAAGGGCATTGAAAGTATGGAAGCACTTCGGGATTAAAACGCTCGGGCAGTATCACAACCTGTCTTTAAGAACTGATGTTTTACTACTGACCGATGTTTTTGAAAACTTCAGAGACTTGTGTATGGAATACTACGGTTTAGACCCCGCTCATTATTATACGTTGCCAAATTTCGCATGGGACGCGATGCTTCTGAAAACTGGTGTTGAAATAGAACAATTGCATGACCAAGACATGTTTGAGATGGTTGAAAAGGGAATGAGAGGTGGTATGTGTCAGGTTAGTCATAAATTAGCAGTGGCAAATAATAAGCATATGGGGGAAGCATATGATGCGAACAAGCCATCAAATTATATTAGTTACTTGGATGCTAATAACTTGTATGGCTTAGCAATGTCCCAGAAGTTACCGCTAAAAAATATCAAGTGGGCAAAGAAAACGCCCAGTGTTGAAAATTGGAATGAAAACGATAAGTTTGGTTATATTATGGAAGTTGATTTGGAATATCCCGAAACATTGCACGACTTCCACTCCGACTATCCACTAGCGCCTGAAATAATGAATGTAAATGTGAATATGCTTTCCGACTATCAAAAGCAAGTCTTCAAAATATATTATGATGGTAAAAGTCCCAAGGACGAGAAAACAAGTAAGTTAATATTAAATCTAAAGGATAAAGAAAAATATGTGGTTCATATCAAGACTTTACAGTATTATTTGAAAATGGGAATGAAAATGGGTAAAGTCCATAGGATAATAAAATTTCAACAGAGGGCATGGTTGAAACCGTGGATTGACTTCAACACTGGTAAAAGGAAAGAAGCCAAAAGCGATTTTGAGAAAGATTTATTCAAATTAATGAATAACGCGGTGTATGGAAAAACCATGGAGGACAAAAGAAACCATATGGACTATGCGTGAATAACCCAACATTCAAAAACAGATTTATTATTAATGAAAATCTCGTAGGAGTTGAAAAAACTAAAGCAAAACTGAAACTGGATAAACCGATTTTCCTGGGAATGAGCATTTTAGATTTAAGCAAATTACATATGCATCAGTTTTACTATGATGTCCTTAAGACAAAATACAATGAAAACATAAAACTGGTTTATACCGATACTAACCGTTATGTAATTCAAACAATGACTGGTGATGTTTATAAGGATTTCAATGATATAAAGCAACACATGGATTTTAGCGACTATCCTGTTGAGCATCCATGTCATGACAAAACTAATAAAAAGGTCTTAGGAATGTTTAAGGACGAAGTGAATGGAAAAATCATTGCTAAATTCATTGGATTAAAACCTAAATCATATGCCTTCACAATTCACGGTGAGGATGATGAACATAAGAAATCAAAAGGTGTAGTGAAACACAAAGTGAAACAAGAACTGTCGTATCAGAACTATCACGAAGCATTATTTCAAAACGAAAAGCACGAAATCACATATAATTTTATTAGGAGTAAGTCACATCAATATATATTCAATGTCTCAAGTAAAGCAAAGTCTGAGTAATTATGAAAATACAAGGTTTTATATTGATGCTTTCACTTCACTGCCTTATGGACATTACGCTATTACAAAGTAATAGCCTAATGGGCTTCGCGACATTCCTCCATAAAATAATTATCTAAATAGTTCTAATAATATGAAATTATTTGAATTATTTTCAGGGACAGGCTCGGTTGGTCGGATTGCTCGGGATTTGGGTTTTAGTGTTATTTCCCTTGATTTGAAAAATGCAAATATCAATACTGATATTTTGAGTTGGGATTATAAACAGTTTGATGTGGGTGAGTTTGATGTGATTTGGGCATCCCCTCCATGCACCGAATACAGTAGAGCTAAAACACCAGGACTTAGAAAGATAGATTATGCTAATAGTATTGTTTTGAAAACTCTTGAGATTCTTGATTATTATTTTAAACCGGTTTGATGGGTGATTGAAAATCCTCAGACGGGTCTTTTCAAGGAACAACCCTTCATGAGTGGTCTTCGGTATGTTGATGTGGATTATTGTATGTATGGGTTCAATTATCGGAAGAGAACAAGGTTGTGGACTAACATAACAACATGGATACCTAAGCCTTTATGTTGTGGGAATTGTGGTAAAGTAAGGAATGGTAAACATCTTGAAACTGCTCAAAGGTTGCCATCGGGTAAGAAATCTGAATGGAGTGTTGTGTATGTGAACATAAACAAGATGATTTATATAAAATCCCTACTGATTTAATTAGTGATGCGTTTGTTTCTCTTGTGTTCTAAGTCTGTCAGCTTTGGGTTTGGGTTCAAACTTGAAACATCTGGGTGAGTTGGATTAATAATACAGTAAAGTCAAAATTTGGGGTTGATGGAATTTGTAGGTGAAATGGGTAGTTTGGGAAACCGTGGAAACCCGATAATGTGATTGAAAACCCCTTGAAAATCTTGAGGGTGGCAAGGGTTGAACCGAAAAAATGTGAGAGTTGACCCTTCTATTTACCTATTGGTTTCAATGAAAAAGCCCTCCCGTCCTTCCCAGTTCCTTGTAGATGAAGAGGTGGGTGCCTTCTGAAAGGGTCAGGACAAACGAGTGGGTTAGGGTTGGGTTGGTGGGGTTGCGGGGTTGGTGGGGTTGGTGGGGTTGGTGGGAGTGTTGGTTGAAACATTGCTCCATGTCAACCTTCAAAATGTCTCATTTGAACCCTTCTCCACTTCAACCTTCAAAGTGCCATGTTGGAAACCTTTTCCACCTCAACCTTGAAAGTGTCTCATTTGAACCCTTCTCCACTTCCACCTCCAAATTGTTTGAACGCTCCCTTCAACAGCGAACCCGCGACATAACCATGAAGAGGACAGATGTGGTAGGTGATGTCCCGCTTGTCTTCTCAACCTCAGGGCATGGTGAAAGCAAACATGTTTATTGAATCTATTTTTCATCCTCAACAATCTATTTTGCACCCCTCTGCAATCTATTTTGCACCCCTCCGCAATCTATTTTGCAACCCCCCGCAAAATCAGAAAGGCTATTTTGCACCAACCCGTAAAATGAGAAACCCCGACCTAATTTGACCATTTTAGGGCGATTTTGCACCTACCCGAAATCTATTTTGCACCCTCCCGCAAAATGTCCCTTCTTGCGATTCGAATTTTGCAGCGGTTGGCAAACCGCTTTGTCCTCATGCGACGGCTTATGTGGTCGCCTGTTCAGACCACTACATCACTGTGTCTAACAGCTTGAAAACGCACTCTCATTCACATTTGGGGCTGGTCGCCCGCCCTCCAGAACACACATGCACGGACCAGCACATGAAATGAGACTTCAATTTGTCATCAGGCCCTGATGGTGTTCCTTCGCCGCTGCTGCAGCGTGCTTTTTCGTCCACGCTGACGCTAGTGTTATTCAGATTTGTTTGCTCTGCACACTGCTTCATTAGGCAATAGGTGACTTGTTTGTCAGCCTACCATCACTGGCGATCCAAAGCACCCGACCCTCACTGCCTAAGACCGAGACCACAGTTGATTCTGTCAGGCACCGTTGCCCACGCAGACCACTGATCACGAGTGCTGCTGCCGCTGTGGTCATCGGGCTCCCACCACTGATCACGAAGCCAATGCCAGCTCCCGACAGCCGTGGTGTTTCTCTGAAAACTTGCCGTATGTGTGCCACAGAATGTCCAGGAAGATGTCATCGTACGCATTGATGGACCAGTGAAAGTGCTTGTTGAGCTTGACGAGCTTTTTCTGCTGTGGCAGATTGGTTGTTGAATCGAAAATCCATGTGTCCAAGAAATATTCACTGACAGCCGTCCACGAATGTGTAGGCGAATCTGGGTTCCTTTCCATAAATCGAGTCAATGCGAGTTCCAGCAACGGTCGGGTAGCATAGACTGCTTTGACTTCTGCTAGCTCCTGTACCAGTCTGTTGTACTTCTCTTTCAGCTCAACCACCAATTCATTCGTCACACCCTCCTTCTCTTTCATCACACCCTCCTTCTCTTTCATCGCACCCTCCTTCTCTTTCATCCTCTCTTTCATCACACCCTCCACCTCTTCCATTGCAAGTCTTGCCTTTTTTCTGTGACCGTCGGGTATTTCATCCAAGAGTCTGAACACGTTGGACATGGAACACATAGTTTCCTGTCCTAGATTGGTGGCTTGATAACTTGAGCCAAATGCTGCTTGCCAAGAAAAATCTGCTCAAGTTCATGACGCACAGCCTCTGGCAGAACTTCTGTGTGCGGCTGCACACTCTGCATCATCCGGCTTGAACGTGAAGAAGATTTGTTTGTGAATGTTGCTGATGAGGGTGCAGACATACACCAGGCCCGTATCAGAATGGCAAACAAACACTCCCGTCTCTTTTGCATCTGGGCATCCGGACAGAAAGAACGAGGACGAAGTCGATGATGACGCGGCCGCCAGCCAAGAAGGACGCAACCAAATGCACCACCCAACTCCCCAGACCACGCAACAACTTAATGACTAACCTCATTCAATTGTTCAAAACATTGCCCCCCAGACCAACAATGAACAAGGGGGACAATTACCCAAATGACCACCTCTAACAAAAGGATATTTCCCCTCCCCAAAACACCCCTTTTCAAAACGAAGAAGGGGGAACACAGATTTGAGATGAACATAAAAACCAGAACAGGCAACCATCAACAGGCCAGCCCCCAGGCCCCCCCTTTTTACCATTTTTTTTTGGGGGGGGTATGGCCCCAGGCCTATCCCTGGAGGGAACTGGAACCCTCTGGTAGTTGAGGTCGTTGTTGGTCCCTGGATCTATTCCGGAGAGAGTCCAATATGCCAGTAATGGATGATTGGAGGATGGATTGTCCCTGGTGGATTGTCTTGTGGATAATCCTGTAAGCGGCCTGCAATGGCTCTTTTGTCCTCACGCTCGGATGGTCGTGATTATGCAAAAGGGGCCTTGGGCCAAATGTTGCGGGAGATCAATGGTCTGAAAAACAGAACACAAAACAGACACAAATTTCTTTTGATCTCCAGCACAAAGTATGAAATACTATTGGCTTCATGGCCTTTGACCGTAGCCTTGATGTATGCCATAGCCATGTGATTAAAAGTGCCGGATTCATCCTTTTTCTGCTTGGATGAAAACGTCCTGGCCTTCGAAATGGGAAACACTATGTACGCTTCTTTTTGGATACCTAATTGTATCAAAGGGTGATGTACAACGCTATGTACACGCAGAACAATTGTGAAACTATTGATCACTCACTCATGGTATAGTCTTGTAGACGAGGAGGATCAATCATCTGGATTGCTCGTGGTGCTGAACGTATCTTCATGGTCAGTCGGATCGACGATGCCATCGGCGGCTGCTGTCGGATTGACTGCCATGGTCTCCATAATCATTCCAGGTCGAAGTGCTATAGTCCTTCCACTGCTTCTGATATCCCCACTGCTTGTTGTAGTCCTTATACTCCTGCGTGGTCCAGGATGATTGTAATCCTGGTATCTCTCAGAGTTGCGTTTACTTGCAGACTTGCTGCGGATGTAAACCATCAGAGGACTGTGGGAGTCGGAGTCCTGCGAACCGTTCATGAACATTTCATTGTTCACGTGCTTGTAGCGCTCTGCGGATGAGACCTGGTAATCGAAAATGGCCTTGCTTGGATGGTTCCGCATGAATTCCAGTTGTTCATCATCCATACCATTCATCTCGATCTTCCGGAAGTCCTGCTGGATGTTCGTTTTGCCCCATCCAAATACGATAGTCATCATCACATCTGGGAATGTTCGATCAAAACCTGATCCGCATTTCATGTGCAGGTGATGACGGACAATGGATTTCAGGGTCCACGAAGTCTCCACTGTATACTCCATTCTGTCCACGAGTGGCAAATTCTTCGTCACATTCCACAGTCTCTGATATGCTCTCATGAGGATGTTCACGAGACCGTTGGTTGGATTGTAGACATGCTGGAGTTTGCTGTAGGTGTTCGCCGATTTGTTGGCGTCTCCGGTGATCGCATCGCACCGGTACAAGGTCACGAGTGGCATGATTTCATTCTGAAGATCTTCCTTTGCTGCTCCATGGCTAAGTGAAGGATGGATGTGGAAGACTCCAATGGTTGCGAATGGTAGATCTGCCCTCGTTATGTGGCGGTCGTCATACTCGTAGTATGACTTGTCGGATGATTTCGGGATCATGCCGCGAAACTCATCACTCTGCTCGATGTGGAGAACGACGATCTCCTTGTCTCGGCCGTGTCCTTGGACAATGGTGCGTGCTGGCAATCTCGATCCAATGTACTTCTTGGATTCGGTAAACATGGATGTTCCTGTGGTTGCCAAGCAATCCGAGGTCGGAATTTCGTATTCGGGATCAGTGCCATCTCCTTTAGTTCCGAAGAAACATCTGAACATTCCGAATGTGGTTCCCCAATTCTGGCTCCTGGTGGAAATGTGTCTTGCCAGAAGTTCCACTCGTGCAGAGGGTCCGCCGCGGACAAAGCATGCGATCGGTCTGGATGACCATTGCTTGATCACGATGCCCTTGTAACCATATCGGATGAACGTCTTGATGAACTCCCTGGATTTCTCATCATTCGGACTGAAGAATGCGTCTGCCTCATTCAGGCATAAGATGTGTGCACTGTTCTGCATCATCATCTTGACGGTCGGTCGATCCTTCATCGGCATGTTGTACACCTCCCTGTTGTCCAACTTTGGATTCCTTGTGAGGTTTCCATGGTTCAGGGTATGCATGTTGATCGCTATGGATGAGGTGAACTCATGCATGTTGAGATAGTCCACGGAAGGACGGTCAGTCGGCTGCATCAGCGATCCCAGGATATCGGCATAAGCTCGGATGATTTTCGGGTCGTCTTGTGACCTGAGCTTCTTCAGTCCAAGCGGCAGCTTGATCGGATATCCGGATCCTGGTTGAGCTTGCTTGTACTCGTCAATGGTGGGACATTCTCCTCGATGAGGGAAGTAGAATTCTTCTTCACCGAGATTGACATCAGGATCGACATGTGCCAATGAGGCTCTCTCTCGAACTCTGTCAAATTGGGATGAGCTCCTTTCGGATCTTTGTTGAACTGGCTCATGAAACGTTTGAGTTCTTCTTTGATCCCCGCAAGCTCTTCCTCTGCGTCCTTTTTGTTCATATCTATTTCGAGATAGATTCCCTTGAGTTCTTGGATGAACTCTTCTAGGTTCTCTGAATTGTGATATTCCACGATGACCTTCGGCTTGACGGATCTTTCCCCGGAGGGTTCCATCATTTCTCCTTCGGTGGAGTCCCGATCGGTGGAATGCCGTCTCTTCTTGGTCTCTGAGGAAGTATCTTTTTCCTTGTTGTGCTTGGTGGAATTCACATGCTTGAAGAAGGCATCGGCGAATTCGCGGATCTTGGTGTCATACATCTCGAAGTCTTCATAATCGAGGTGCTTCTTCATGATCCACTTGTTGCTCGCCATGAGGCTGCCATCGGGTTCAATTGCTGCAACATTTTTTCTTGCCTCGATGGTTTTGTCCGTCAACGCTGTTCTCTCTTCAGAGAGGCGGATGCCATAGTCTTGGTCCTTGAGAAATGCAAGGATCAGCAGCGCAGCTCTTCCTGCTGGCACATGGGTCAATGCGGCTCGTCTTCGAGGATGACGTCATCGATGCATGCCATGTGGACGTGCATTCTCCCTGAAGGGTTTGACTGGGACTTCCCAGAATTGAGCCCGTGCTCCATGATGCTGTAGAGCTGATTTCCATAGGTTGCATGGAACATGAATGTGATGGGCTTCTTCGAGAACGGCTTGATCTTTCTCTCTTCTTCAACGGATGGTGGTGCCGGCCTTCGCATTCGGTACTTGGGCTGAGCTGTGCTTTCATCTCCATGAGGCGCCTCGGATCTTGACGGATGCGGACTTGGCGGAATGGATTCCGTTGGTAGACCATAGTCCGGTTCGTCGTAATGAGGCTCTTTCTGCTCAGAGAAAAGGGGTCGTCCAAAGGATTGGGTATCGACTTGTCGTGTGTGTCCGCTGTTGCATCTCACATAGAACTCCATCTCTGGATCAACATAGAAGTCCTTGCCGTCGGGCCTGAGGGCATTTTGTGCGGATCTGGTGTTGAGCTTGTCGATCCATCGATTCCTTGGAACAATTTCTCCCCGTGCCTTGCGCTCTTTATATGTCCCGTCCACGGATGGAAATACGAACGCAATTTCGAAACGTGATTTTCCATAGCTCGGGAACATAGCCATCAAGAGAAGTCCTGGCTGATTTCCAATGAAGTTCCTGGCATGTGTGATGCAGGTCAATGCGTCATAGAGCTCGACGGATCCATCAGGACCCATTTCCACCTGCCGTTTGCATTCCTTATGGATTCCATGCCTTGGATCATGTCGAAGACATCCGGAAAACGATCTGCTCATTCTCTCAATTCGCCAGAGGATGAGATCTGTGATCTGTTTCGCCTTGGATGGATCCATGCGGAAGTATTTGCAAACCTGTTCGACATTCTGGACGGTCTTATCGAGATCAATGTTGCCGTTGTGGCATACCATCGGGATGATGTCGGTTCCGTAAACTTCGGATTGAGCATTGCTGTAGCAGGAGATGCTGTAGACCTGCTTGATGAAGTCCATGTATTCCTTCTCTGCATGAGGTCCTTCACCTTGGAGTGTCGGATGCCAGTAATCGTTGAATCTTGCCTTCAACCAGAATACCTTAACTCCATGCGGTCTCTCGTGCTCAGGAACAAAGTGGAAATCCGGATTGACATCGTGGATGGTTGAGCATTCGTGCACAAAAGTCAGGAATTTTGATCCTGGGTGCACGGATTCCTTCTGGAGGCTGATGTTCGTATCCGATCCATATGTTACAAACCACCGATCGTGGATGTGAGAACAGGCCGCATCACTGGTCGCCTTGGAAGTGCAGGTCGATCACCAGGATGATTGTCGGAGTCCGTCTCGTCATCCAGGGTGTTCTTTGGTGCTGGCTTGACCTTGGAGACAAGCCTCAATGTCGGTGGCGGTGACTTTGGAACAAGTTTCGGATGTGGCATCGCCTTTGACAAAGGCCTTC